AGGCTTGTTAGTTCGTATTTTCTATTTTCCAAACAGTGAAAGGAGTGTGGCCAATGACCTTTGTAATATTGCTCATAGTCAATGCAGTTGCGTAACAAAAAACGAACACGTCTAGACTAACCTATGTACTTACAAGTTATCGTTGTCGACATTCGCAACCAATCCCGAGGCACTTCTGTGATCGTCGGAGCATGGAACAAACCGAACAACCATGCCCAGTCGACCAGAGAATTACAGGGTCGCCTCTTCTTAAAGGAATACCTGCAAATTTACCAACTGTACATAAATAGAATATATATACACACAAAAAGCAACACACAGTACTGGAGGACCGGAAGCGAAATTGCGTCCAGCGACAACTCAGACACCACGGACATTAAAAGTCCCCGTCTCCAAAGAGTTAGAACATTTATAGACCACAGTTAATGAAATGGATAGACAGACCAAATGTACACATAAGAAATACAAATGCCAAAAAGCAAGTTCAAATGCCACGTAGAAAGTTTCACGCCACATAAAAAGTTCAAATGTACAATAGGACATTTTAGAGCACAATTGTGCGTAACAAATTGAAATGTACAAATAGCAAATCCAAATGTAACACAATAGCAGGTTCAAATGCCACATAGCAAAAGCAAATATCCTCCACAAAGATTATTCAGCGTGAAGAGCATTGTAAAGTGTTCAAACTGAGTTGATGACATCCATAAGCAGTTTAATTGTAAGGTCAATTAATCACCATTCAAAAAAGTCCCGAGGATGCTCGAGGGGAAAGAAATTCAGATAGGACTGAAGCAACTAGACACCAGTATGCACCTTGGCTGATGCAGGACATTTATCGGTATGAATTTGCCTTTATTGAGGAAGCTGGTAGCAAGCCGTTGACGAATAGAAACCGATGAAGAGCACAGAGTGGTCAATGCTGTGTTTGAGTAATGCACGGTCGAAGGGGACTGAACCACACGATGCCATAAGGGCCTAATTAGCTGTCAGTGACGAGAGTGGCCTGGTCTTTCACGACATTCAAGTAGAGGGAATGGCAGCTTTCGTCTCAACCCATCCCTCTAAGAAACTGGTCCAACAATCCCCCACAACGAAGTACATAATGTATGCCTGGTATGTAACAATGCTCGTGGAAAAAGGCAGCTTTCGTCTCA